ATATAAATTGGAAAACATTGGAGATTCCTTAAAAAAGTCTAAAAATAGAAATACCATATGACCCAGGTATATATTCTAGGTGCATTTATGAAGAATATGAAAACACTAAATCAAAAATGTATATATACCCCTGTGTTCATAGCAGCATTATTTACAGTAGCTAAGACATGGAAACTACTGTGTGTATACATATATGCATACACTCTCTCAATAGACTACCACTCAGCTATTAAAAAAAAAAATGGATAAAAGCTTGCCTTTTGCAATGACATGAATAGAATTTGAGGTGATTATGCTAAGTGAAATGTCAGAAAGTGACAGATAATTTCCTGGTGGTTTTCCTCATATGTGGAATATAAATAACGAAAGCTAACAAAACAGTAGTCATCACAAAAATGATTCAGGCTGTGAAAAATATAATGGTTGCCAGAAGGGGAGGGGAGGGAGAGTAGGCAGGCAGTGTAGAGGGCCTGAGCCTGGCTGTGAGAACGCCACTAGGTCTTTGTGGGTAGGTGAGGCTTAAGCACATGTAGAGGTGAAGATGTTCCCATAGTGTTTACATCAATAAAATTTTATTAAATAAAAAAAAATCATACGCAATGATTTTTTTTTTTATGTGCCATCATTTCAGGCAGGTCTTAGTAATATGATTTGAGTTGTATATCATGGATGGTACATTTCTGCTACAATAGAAAAATTAGTAATATGATCCCATGTCTCCAGAGATGCAATGTGCTTCAGGATCCTTTCTGGCTGGATCACCAAGGGCTAATTTAATAAGAGGGTATGGGGAGGGTAAACTGGATTTTTACTCACACCTCTTAGTTCTTTTAGTCCATATCTATTTGCTCCCCTTTTTCCTTCTAAAAAAAGTGTCATGATAATTAATGGAAAAATTATTCCAGTCTTAATGATTCTGCCTGGTTATGCATAAGTAATTTGCTAAAATATGCCCAAAATGAGTATATATACTCACTGCATTATAAACTTGACAGGTTCTAGCTGCTGACTTGTAGTATTCCTGGGGAACACCCACTGGAGGTCAGTTATTTCCACGCTACACACAGAAGCTGCACAGAGCCTTTCTGTCTTAACAATGCTGTGTACTAGCTCTGTGTCTTTAGGCAGATTATTTGGTTTCTCCAAACCTTGTCTTATTATGTCTAAAAGGTGGGTAGTGATCATCATTTCCTTGAAGGGTGACTGGGATTGTGCACCATTCCTTTGAGGTCTACAGGTTTCAGAAGTTGGTAAAGAGTCATCAACTTTAGGGCCTCCCCAGTGGTGCAGTGGTTGAGCGCGGGGTTGCAAAGCTGCCCGTAGCCTCTGCAGCACCAGTTCCATCCCCAGCCACCGGGAGAGGGTCCCACATGGCGTGGAGACCTCTCCTGCCATCCGCTGCTCCCCTCAGCAGTGTACTTCGTCAGTCTGCCTGTTCTGCTCTCCTCTCTGGCTCTGGTGAATTCTCTCACCCTCCCGCGCCTCTGACTGTACCCAGTGCTTGTATAAATAAATAAAATAAAATCTTTAAATAAAAAAGTCATCAACTTTATCCAAACAAAGTAAAATGTATCTCTGAATCATTTTTGTTTACTTTATAACAAAATAATTGGTTTTATTAACCCTGAAAAGAATCAGATATCAAGAATACTTACTCAGTAGCTACTTGTCTGGCAATTCCAGAAGAATCTGTATCACTCAGTGTCATTGGCTTCCACAATGAAGCCAATAAGATGCATTGGGAGAGACTTTCTGGTCTATAGGTGGGAACCTACATTCTTCAGGTGATTATACAGAATCCTTTGGGCTGATTCAGTGACACCTGACAGCAATGGGGCATTCAGGTGTTTAACAAGACTCTTTCTTCCTCCCGATGAACTTCATCTTTTCTCTTTTCCCAGGGTTAATCTTGGTGTCATTTGACTCATTCATTCTCCTTAATTGTCTCCATCTTGGCTTGTAGATTAAGAAGGGGAGATGCGTAGAGTTATTCATTCTTATAATTTTAATATTTCAAGACTTATATGAAAATAAGAAAGTGAACATTGTTTTCTCACTGAACTGTGTCCTGTGTGGGCATTTGAGGAATATGTAAGATTATTGATAAAGACATTTTGAAAGTTATGCATGGGAATAAATTCTACATCTTTTATCCTTTGAATGATAGAAGCTTCTTAAATCCTAGGAATGTATATCTTCACTTTGAACCAATGTTTTTTGCCTCAGATTTCATGGTTTTATGTAAAATATAGTCAAGAAGCAGCAATTTGTAATGACCCACATTGCCAAATAAAGAAGACAAATAGTTTCATTGTGGCTCCTTGCAGAAGAAGCAATATTTAAGATACAAACTAGGCTACAGAAGAAAAATCTTGTTTTGCAGTCTTTCCTCCACCCACTTCATAGCCTGTTGCCAATCCCATGTCTGCCCCATGAGGTGCTTCTACCCTTACTTAGCCCGCTCCTATCTTCAATTCCTTGGTCTCCCCCGTACCTTCATGCTGGTCCATTTGCCTATGTCTCATTGCTTCTCTTGACATATCCCACCAGTCACTCTGCCCCATACTCAAGCTGGCTCTTCTTGTGTTGCTGCCCATCTTGGGGTTTGTTCTTCTCATCTTGTTCAGAGGCGATGCACCCTTGCCAGGAAGTCATGCTGTGTATTGGTATAGCCCAGAGGATTTCCCCATGTTTCTAGAAACTCATCTCTTCCTCTGATTGTCAGAGAGGTCAGGAGAAGCAGGAGACCTTATATATCAGAAGTCTGAATTCTCAGAGCCTTAGGTCACTGAGTCTCCCTTCATTCTCTGAGGGAAATACGACTTTAGGTTGATCCAGGTTGGATACATGGGCAAGGGGGGAGGTGTGGTGAACAGACTACGTGACTGGAGGTGGGGTGTGTCCTGAGGAGCGCCTCCAGCCATTCCTTTTTGAAACAGATCTAGGAAGGTCTTTCCTCTGTGCACTGGAAAGTGGGGATCCTAGTGTGATCCTTTTCTTTTTGGGTGAACCGAGTGGATTAGTTGCAGCTTAGAAAGATTTTGTGGAACAGTGAAATCTCTCTGATATATCCCCCCTGAATTATATGGCATCCTCTGAACCAGGAGAGCCTAATGTTTTGGTGTTCAAAGGCCTGCAGGCCCATAGACACTTCATGTCCACTCTCAACTGTATTTCCACTCTCCAGCACTGCACCACGATTATTGGAATTAGCAGGCTTTTTTCCTTGTTTCCCTCTTTTTCCTTTCCCTTAAACTAGAGGCGGCAGAGAAAATATCCTGATGGAGTTTGTATGTATTTGTTATATTCCTTCAGTGCTATCTTCAAGCAGTTCTTCCTAGATGCCTGCATAACAGTGGCAATCACACCCTTCCCAGAGCTTCCACCGGGGCCAGTGCTGATGCGTTTCTCAAGGGGTCTCTGCAAATCATACTTATCACAGTGCCCATCTGCAGTCCCACTTCTCAGGGAAGGCTTTGACAATTTTGCTAGAAATCGTCATGGCCAGCCCTGTGAGTTTTTTCTTCTTCTCTCAACCTTCTTTTACTTGGCTATTGACTTTCTCCCATAGAAGGTTTCTTAGCCTGTTTTTTCTTTTTAGGATTTCTCTCCAATTTTTCTTGACCCATCTCTCCTCCCCCACCCCACTACTTGCCTTTGTACCTGGTAGCTGCATTTCCTAGCTCCCTAAAGTGAAGCATTTTTCTAGAACACAGACCAATCTAATTTTACTAGATGGAAACTGGATACTTTCTCTTTAGTCTTTGGATTTTTGGTTGATGAATTTTGGTTTATATTAGCTCAGGCTTATTAAATTCACAAAGGAATTATTGACAATTTGGCCTTTAACACCAACCAAAACTTATAGTTGCTTTAACTCTTTTTCTGAGAATGTTTTTGACATTTCCCAAATGATTTAAATGGCTTTAAAATCAATACATGATAGGCTAGCTAACAAATGATTTGACTGGACCCTACTTCTTTTTTATGGGTTTTGAAATTAAATTAAATCTATAAATATTTAATGACTGAGCATTATGGGAAACATTTTCTACTGGCTTTATGTGGAGAGGGCCTACTTAAAGCTGGGAAGTATATTGGCCTTTTATGATGGATTCAGTGTTTTTACTTGTAATATAAATTTTGGTCATATCAGTGGTTAGTTTTTACAAAATTATTTGATTTAAATATTCTAATGTCCGGATAAACTGTTGAATGATGATTTTGTTATTTTACCACGCAAAGTCATTTTAAGTGCTATGAGTTTTGTAAAGATGTTATAAAATATTAGTAAAGTGTCCTGGGAGAGTAATCTCTTTTGAGTTTTCTTTACTTTTTTTTAGTATGTGTATTATTTATCTTTTTATCTATATTTTCGTCAATTTAGATTAATTAATGTTTAGAATCAAGTTTTTCTGATGAACTGCTGTTTAACTACTTTCTTGAAGAAATATGCTTCTCTCATGAGATAGTAATATTTTTATCAACCTTTAACTGTTTTATCAACCTTTGCATCTGGTACAGATTGGATCTAGTCCAGGCTTTTTCACTGAAATGAGCCTCCTTGGGTTTTTTTGACTCTAAGCTCAAACCAGTTTCTCGGTACCATTATGGGGCTTGCTTTCAGGGTCGGTATCTATTTTTAAGAATAAAAATGACTAATAAAAAGACAAGTAAGGACTCAAAGGTACTAAAAGAATCACACTTCTACTTAAAAAACCACTCTGTGTAAAAAGACCTCAGAGGAAGGGGAGCTTGGTCAAGTGCAAGCAGAACTCTCCTGGCTGAGGATGAAGGGGTCCCTTGCAAATCTGCAATGGGGCATACACACAGGTGGCCTTCAGGGAAGCCCAATGTCATCAGCAAGTCTCCAGAACTGTGTGAGAAAGAGGATGTTCAAACTGGACAAGTGGCATAGTCTGTTCTCCTTGGTAGTCATATTTCTCATTATAAAGCAATGTATTGGCTTTCTGACATCTAAGTTTCAATTTCCCTTTCAGGGCCTGAGTGAAGCAAGATTTGATGATTCCTTGAAGATCCTGATTTGCAGCTGTGACAGAATACCCTCTGGGAACCTGCCAGCCCTCCTGTCAGCACAGCCGCACAGCGATGTAACTGATAAGGTTAGATCTCATTGATGATACATTTAGCCTCAGGTATGAAAATGTCAGGATAATTAGTATTTGAAGGTGGCAAGTTTCCCTTTCTAATGAGACTGAAAAAACACTATAAAGGATGTTTGTGATGGAAAGATAGAGATGGGTCTACATAAAATTACAACAGGTCAATAATCTTGACAATTTAAACCCTGAAATTTTGTTAACTTTGCATTTTTCGGGGGGAGGGAGGTTCCAGTTGTCTTCACCATCATCCGATTTCTCAAGAAATATCCTTTGTGGGTCTGCTTTGTGCAAAGCTTATGCTAGACACTGGGCTACAGAGAAGAACAAACATATTCCTACTTTCACAGGATTTAAGTTTTAGGGGGATGGGCCCTATGAACTGTGACTGTTAACTTACTGAGACTGCTTTTTGAATGTTTGAGGACTCAACTTTTTTAATACCCTCCCTGTTATAACTCTTCAAAGATGACTCTCATTTTTTTTTTTGGGGGGGTGTCAAGCGTGATGAATCTATCTTATCTGCTTCTTACCATGTACAGACATTTTGATGTCTGCTTTAGAGGGATGGTCGGAAAAGATGGAGAGAGATTATATGTTGAGAAATGGTGTGCAAAATACATAAAGAGGGAGAAAATCATTTTTCTCAATTGTTTGAAGGCTGTTAATACTAGGTCGTTCTAGGTGGACCTGGTAACAACCTTGGTGGGGTCTTGGAGTGATTATTATTTCAACTATTACTCATCTGCCTTATGGTTCCCAAGGCTACCATAGTAGTCAAAACAAGAAGAAAAATCTTATCTTTCCTCTGTTCAAAAACCTTAAATTGCTACTTCCTGCCTACTAAATCTGGAAAACAATGTTGAGTGGAAAAAATTGTCAGTTGTAGGAGTGATAGTTCTAATAGGGCACTATTTAATTTTAGAAGCCATTTTAAATATTGTTTATGGAATACATGTGTAATCCATTACATATATGTGGTACATACATGTGGCAAAAGTTAGGCATGAGAATGAGAAAACAAAGTTCAGGATAGTATTTAGCTGTGGGAATAGGGAGGGAGGATAATGCAAATGAGACAGGCCTCATATGTGTTTATATTTTATTTCTCAAGTTAATTGGTGGGTGCACAGATGGTCCATTATATTATTCTCCTAATTCGTGGTGGTAAAATTCATTTTTAAAAAGTTTCATTTAGAAAGAAGAGAGTGTTATTTTAATGCATATATTAAATCTTTGCTTAAGTCAGTGTTATTTCATTTTTCCTCATCTCTACTGGAGGCTCATGTGAGAAGTAGCAGGAGCTCTCAGCTCTGCAGAGTCTGTCAGCTTCTCGTCAGCCTCAGATTGAGGGTGGCTGATCATGCAAATGTCACTTCTGAACATTCTCTGGACAGCAGCTCCCTGTGCATATGTTGACTGCTCCCTTCAGTATTGACTTTGCACCTGCTTTCCTAGGGGATTTACTTTGACTGGGGAACTGCAATGGGGCTCAAAAGCATGTGTGTGTGTGTGTGTATGTGTGTGTATATATATATATATGTATATATATGTATGTTTTTTGCCAATAGAAAGAATTTTGAGCTGCTAACCTGATCCCTGGGCTACATGATTCTTTCCTTTGAAGGGGGATCAAATGTGAGAAGGCCTGGAGCCAGTGCTCCATAAATTGAACATGTAGCTGACATCTTCTTCCATTGAGATTTTTCATTCTGAGCAACTTGGGAGTATTATTACTCATGGACAGGTGACCGCCCCTGGTATTAAAAACTGATCCCTTAAATGTTATATTTTCCCCTCATTTGGCCTGAAAGCATTATTCAAAGCATTCCTGTTCTCTGTAGGCTTTTGCTAATGATAAGCAGGTACAATTTTGAGACACAAGCGAACTTTTGAAGGAACCATCTACATTGCAGTAAATATTTCAGAAAAGATAAATTGTTACTTTGAATGGTTTAATTGGAAGTAGAAAAGTAAAACCTTGTAAGAATGAACTGAGAAAGGTAAGGAGAGAAAGCCATGGTACTGATCACACACTGTACCGGTAACCTATGTCTATTTAAAAATGACTTCCACTGGAATTTTCCATCATAAAATTATCACTGTCCAGCCACTGATTTTTGTATTAACCGAGAAAACTTTGATTTCCTTATTACATGATAACACACATACATACCTGTATGTGTGTGTACATATGTAAATTCTCACAAATGTATGCATGTATACATGCATGTAAGTATATTTATCTTAATCATTTAACCAACCTAAATCAACTTGTTCTATGTGCTACAAAGATTAGAATCTAAACCAGGTGAAAACAAGTGCTGCTTGGTCATGCAAAGTTTGTCACAGTTAGAGTAAAAAGGCTGTCCCCACTCCCCAAGATTTCAAAAATAGGAAGTAACTTCTACTTTATTGACCAACACATAAAAGAATTGGAGGAGCACATGTGGCCCCTCTTACATTCTCATTGTGCTCCTCAGGAACAATGGGGGGCATGTAGATTGGTGAGTGTGGCTAATGAGGAATTTGAGCATGGGTGTTGCTTTGCTGAGGTGTATAATGACTTTCCTCAGCGATCTGCTCATGACTGTGGTGAGCTTCTAGGTAGGGCTGACCCTTCCAGGGGTGGGGGAAAGCTACCTTCGGTGGGTAAAAGTGCACTTGCAGTGATTCATTAGAAACTCAATTCTGGTCATAGGTCAAACCAGAGTCTAGCTTAATCTAATCAGGAATGATGTTGCCATTCTGGTCAGCTGTCCAATGTTTGTCTTATCAAATGGGTTAAACTCATCATGGGGCGAAGGATGTGGCTGATGAACGTTTCCATCCTTAGTGACTTCATGTGGTTCCTGCAAGTATGAACATGGGTACAGTGAGGTTGTGAAGGGATGTGGCAGGATTTTTGGTTCTTTTCTTGGACCAACAATGGAAAATAGCCTATATACTCTAGATCCAAGTGTCTTTTCTTTGCATCAGGATTTTTTTTTTATCCACAACTCTAATGACACTTTGAGCTTTGTAGTTCTGCGTTATGAGGACTATCCTGTCTACTGCAGCCAGAAAATAACCCCAAATCATCCCAGACATTGCCAAATGTTTGAGGGAGTGGGGCACAAACTTACCTCCTGTTGAAAACCACTATTCATGATTAAATTCAATGCATTTTCTTTTTTTTTTCTTTTTGTAAGCTAGTGAAATAGAGAATAGCTTCCTTTAAAATCTAAGAAAGTTGTAGCAATGAAAGGTAGCATTCCATACTCTTCTCCCCATCTAATATACCAGAGTAGGAATCAAGGGGGCAGAATTCTAGTCCTCACTGCCACAAATTAACAGTGTGACCTTAGCTAAGTTACTTACCACTCTCCCTAAGTTTAATTTTTCTGGTATATAAATTAGTGTAATTGAATATTATGCAATAGATTGCTCCTTATTCTTATAATCTGTTATTCCATATTGTAGGTACACTTGTATCTTCAAAAAGAGCTGGTTTTATGACCTTTGATCTACTAATTTCACTTCAAGCAATTTATTCCAAAGAAATACTTGTATATGCCAAGATTTTCATGCAAGTATGCACCCTGCATTGTTGATAGTAGTGGCAAAAGCTTCGAAGTAACTCCAATGCTCATCTTTAAGTAGTTAGGTAAATAAAATATCAGACATCCATGCAATGTAATAGCACTGAGCCATGCACATATACATGGAAGTAAATACACAAATGTGAAAACATTCACTATATGTAGATAAACAGGAAATGACATTTATATTTAGAGCATTATTTTATATACAAATACAAAAATGGAAAAAATATTGAGGCTTATACACTAAATTGTTAATATTTGAGAGGAGGTAAGTTATGAATGACTTTCTACATTACATTTTGTATAGCATTCAAAATGTTAATTTTTTTACAAAATCAAAATAAGGTGTATTTTTTTTTTTAAGATTTATTTATTTATTTATGCAAGCACTAGGTACAGTCAGAAGAGGGAGAGGGTGAGAGAATTCACCAGAGCCAGAGCAAGGAGCAGAGCAGGCAGAAGGGCCGAAGTACACTGCTGAAGGGAGCAGCGGGTGGCAGGAGAGGTCTGCGCGCCACGTGGGATCCTCCTCTGGTGGCCAGGGAGCAGACGGGGATTGAACCAGTGCTGCAGAGACTGCGGGCAGCTTCGCAACCCAGCGCTCAACTGCTGCGCCACCAGGGAGGCCCAATAAGGTGTATTTTTAAAATGAATACATATTCCCCTTATACTAGGTTGAGGTGAATAAAACAATTGCGTTATCTAGGTTGCTGTTTCTCAACTGGAGGCAGTTTGGCCACCCAGGGGACATTTGACAATGTCTGAAGGTATTTCAGTTGCCCAGCCAAGGGGAGAGACGTGACCACTGGCATCTGGTGGATGGGGGCCAGGGATGCTGGTAAACACCTTATATAGAATAGACCCCACACAACAAAGAATTATCAGATCCAAATATCAGCAGTGCCAAAGTTAAGAAACCCTGATCTAGGACAAAGTTGAACATCTGATCAACAGCAGCTAGTAGAAATGTCCTAATTGCAATGAAGTACATGTTTGAAGACGTTGCCTTTAAAATCTTCAGGGACTATTACAGTTGAGCTTGAAAGTTACTCATCATATTTGTTTCTCATCCTATTACCTTTTTTCTTGGAAAATTTTAAAGGGCATAAGAGGAACTATTCTATTCAGTGTTACCAAAAGTTTATTTTCTCTCAGTTTTAAAAATCAATTTAATTAAAAAAAATTCTTTACATTCTTTCCTTGAAAATCGTGTCTAAACCAAATTACTGGTACCTGAGCCCACTGGCTCTATGATACTTTTTCATGTCAGTCTTATCCTCAACCTTGTTGCAAGGTGGCTGTTCCAGTTCTGGATGCCATACTAAAGCACAAAACATCTGGAAAAAGAGAAAACCTTTCTGTGACTTTGACTTAGAAACTACTTAAATAACTTGCTCTCACATCTCAGTGACCACACCT